GGAGAAAGGGCAGGGGAGGTAAGCTTACATACCACTATAGCAGTTGTCACGCCATAGACACCGACCCACCACTGCCATGGAGAAGAGAGAGAGAGAGGTATAGAGAAAGGGGTGAGGAGGACATGAGGGGGGAGTTTGAAGTTAGCCACATGCACAAAGGATAGCAAACAAAAAGAGGATGTGACAACAACAGTCACAACTAAGAGTTTGGACTCTGGACCACAATAAGGAGAGTGACAAGTCTTAGACAGGCGCATGAGACAACGAAGGAAAAAATGGAAAAAGAAAAACCTCTCAAAAAACTGCAGAAGTGGGAGAAGAAAAAAGGAATGGCGAGTTTCAAGGACTCAGAGACCAGTCATTTTTTTATTTTTTTATTTATTTATTTTTCCAGAGACCAGTTGGGACACATGAACCTGCACTTTTATTGAGGTAAACTAGAGATGAAGTAAAACGGTGAGCCTGACTCAGTCCACACACCAAAATGAACTGTTGAAAATTAAATACAGACCCAAGTTCGAATCCAGATGCAACCACATGAGCCGAATAACAATTACGTGGGGACGGTGATGATATGTCAAAGCTGTCACCGTGACCGGAAAAGAAACAAAAAAACAAACAAAAAAAAAAACGGTAAAAATTTACTAAAAACCCTCTAAAACTTGAAAAAAGGCTATTTGTCTCACACACCCATAACAGTCCCATGACAGACGCAAACAGACTAAAAATTGACTCAGAATAGAATTAGACAGACTCAAAACACAGAGTCAAACAAACTCCAAACAGACTCAAACAGACTCATAACGGAATCAAACAGACTCAAAACACAGAATCAAACAGACTCAAAACACAGAATCAAACAGACTCAAAACAGACTCAAACAGACTCAAACGCTCGTACCAACTCAAGAAGACTAATAACAGACTCGAACGGACTCAGGAGTCAAAAGTTCAAAACAGAGTTATTCGCAACATCGTTGTCCCTCCCCCAAACAGCCTCCCCGAATGACAAAATTGAAAAATCGAAATTGAAAAATCGCAGGAGATTGTTTTCGGGAACTCTGTCGCGGCTCCTGGAGCTGTGCGCAGTGGGACCAGGCTGGCCACTACCGTCTTCAACCGAATAGAACGCCCCGTCATTATAGCCGTATTTGGTCCAACTTGCAGCCTACATACAGTGACAATGACCGGGCATTCTATTTGGGTGAAGTGGTAGGTCTGAAAAGGGGTCCGTCGTGGCCAAAGGAGCGAAATCCACCTGGCACCCTGCCCAGGGCATTTGCACGCCCTGGTGCCCCGGGCGGCCTTCTGGGTAAGATTTGGCCAGCCCATGCGCCCGGCCAACACAGCGTAGATGCATAATCAAATTTTAATTTCTGCTTTCTGGACAGCTCACAACTATCTGGCTTTGAATGTGACGTTGCAATTTGGAATTCTGTCATTTGGCTATTGCTCATTTTCCTTGCATTTGCATGTGGCATCCACTACCACCAGGGTTGTCACCCCCTCGCCGGCCGGGGTCGGCGGGCGTGGGGGCTGGACCCCCAACCCTGGGGGGGGGGGGGGAGAGAAAATCGAAGAAAAAAGGAAAAAAAAAGAGAAGAGAAGAGAAGAAAAGAAAAGAAAAAAACATGGTGGGGTGCGCAGCAGCACCACGCTTCATTTGAGTCGATGTGCGTTTTTGCCAATTTGGGGTTGCCTTGGGGTCTGGCAGGGGTGGGGCCGAAGACGTGCCTGGGTTGGTAGGTGGCGGGGGTGCCGGGGTGCGTGGGTGGGGGCACCAGAGTTCAGGGGCGGGGGTAGGTGGTGGGGGTGTCGGGTCTCTCTCTCTCCCCCTCTCTTCTCCCTCCCTCTCTCTCTCTCTCTGTCTCACACACACACATACACACAAACAGTCGCGCTTTTTTTAAGTGTATAGTGAATATGACAACATACACACAACCCGAAGGTGGGGTTGCTGGGGTCAGTGGCGGGTTCCGGAGTCCGAAGGCGGGGTTCGGTGGCAGGGTTGCGGGGGTGGGGGGGCCGGTTTGTCAGGAACGGAGGGACAGTCCTCTACACACATGGATGCAGAAGCTATGCTGTTGTATGATTGTAGTGATTGTGACAGAGACGACGACTACTACAGCCAAGCGTAACAGTGTTTGTGGTTGTGCAAAGGAGAAGGTCGCAGAGTGTTGGTACATTGTCCTGCTTCAGCACGGGGCCAGAGGGATGATCTTCGACATAAACGAGATTGCGGACGGTTTGGTGTGGCAAGAAAACACCATCGTTCTGTACGCAATAGTAACATCAGTCATGGGATGGACCATGATGCCGTTGTCCCACAGCTCCCAGTGGTCAGAGGCATGTACAATGGCCAATATTATGGCCAGGTTCGTGCACAATGCAGGCAGAGATGTGGGATGGACGATTAAAACACTCGTCTGATTGAAGATTGGGCAGTTCAAGTTGGCGGTCCCTCATTGCTACTTGTAGGACAGCAATGTTAAATCCTCTTTCCCTGGTACAATTACAATCCTCTGGCTGTGGGCAGGGAAGATCAGCAGCAAGCTGAAGGGCAATTTCAAGGAAGTCTGACAGTGTATAAAACGGGTGGTCGAGAATGTGAAGACATCCATTAGTTGCAGTCCGACCACAGAGATTGGTGGGGGGTTGGGCTGGTGTGCCGGGGATGCAGGCCAACAATTTGCAAATCACCCAGATGGTGTCATGATCCCATAGTCTCTTGGGTTGTTTGCTAGTCAGTCATTTGCAGATCACCCATCATGACCCATGTGGTCTGCGCATGGTGGGGCAAAGTTTTGCTGTTTATCCAAACGATGCTGGTCAGCCATTTGTAGGTCCCCCATGTGGTCTACGCTTTGTGCGGGGTAAACTGCAATCCGGGCAAATCATGTTTCAATACCTCGATGTTTGGGGCTGCATCCTGAGGGCACTCTTGAGCATAAAACTCGAGTGTCGTAATGGATACGTAACGAAAACTATATAGTCCAAAGCGGATTAGTTTGAGAATCTGTGACACGAGTGAGGAGAGCATGAAACAAGACATAAACGTGGGGGTTAATGACAGACTGTTTCGTCAGATTATCACCAACTCATCGAACCCTCAACTGTCTCTGCAACCCCCATATTGAGGCTTGGAGTGACAGTCTACTTCGACCCCTGTCGGACGTGGACAGCCGTACTGGTGACAGCAGCAACAGCAAGGCAAAGCAGGCAGCAGCACAGCAGACAGAGGGAAGGAAGGAAGGCGGCAAGTGCACAGGCAAGCTGACAGGCAAGCTGAAAAAAAGCTAAGTACCAAGGTGTTAAGGAGGCCTGCAGATGATCAGCAAGGCAGTACAAGGTAAGCTGATGAGCAGCAGCCAGGCAGCGAAAAGCAAGTGGGTGGCAACACAGGGCAAGCAGGCAGCAACAAAAGGCAAGCAGGCAGCAACGCAAAGCACAAGTGTATGCGGAGCGAATCCGTTGAGCTGCACCGACAATGCAGTCCGCATGCATCCAAGACGAACCAAGGCAGATCATCACCTGCTCACACCACAGGTAGAACTCTACAGACTCTACAGGCCCATGAAACGTAGTTTGGAAGGACAGAAGAAGGAAGAATGATGAGAGTACTTACCTTCGGGATTTCATGGGCCGCCAGCTTAGAATCGAACTGGAACTGTGTGAGTGCGATAACCGCAAAGCCAGCAAAGAGTGCTGAAAGATTTGATATTGCCTTCAATTGCTCGGATTTCTCTTCCACGTCCCGTCTGTTTTTCTCAACAAACCTTTTTCAAGGTTATCACACACACACACACACACACACACAGAGAGAGAGAGAGAGAGAGAGAGAGAGAGAGAGAGAGAGAGAGAGAGAGAGAGAGAGAGAGAGAGAGNAGAGAGAGAGAGAGAGAGAGAGAGAGAGAGAGAGAGAGAGAGAGAGAGAGAGAGAGAGATTCAATGAGAAAAACAAACGCAAACATTCCAGTGCATTAACACACACACACACAGACACACACACACACTAGTGGTCCGAGTACAATATGTAGAGGTACGGTGCCAGAGGGCAAACCCCAGCATACAAAGTCTGGATGTATCGAAAGGTACGGCCCGTTTCCTACTCATCAGCAGGCAGGTCGATGGTTCCCTAAACAAGGCCTTTAGCCTTTTACGCAGTTCAGAAATTTGGGCCCAAAGTTGGTTGAGTCTTTACATTACAGCAACTCAGCAACTCCCACTTAACCCAATCATATGTTTTCTCGAAGTCAAAGGAGTACTACACCAACGGGTAACTCATTTCTGTTTGTTATGATCCTTGGTATCTCACACTGCAAAATCTCATAGAAAGACAAACACCGTTCAATTGCAACTGAAATAAAAGAGATTGGGACGAGAAATAGACAAAGAGGCAAAGTAGGAAGAAGAAAAGGAAGAAGGAAGAAGAAGAAGAAGATGAAGAAGAAGAAGAAGAAGAAGAAGATGATGATGATGATGATGATGATGATGATGATGATGATGATGATGAACACAAGCAAGAACCAATGTCACTTCTCTCTGATATTGCCACCAAGTCCCTCCTCCAGCATTTCCCCCCCAACAACAACAATGAATGGATGAATGAATCGGAATCAATGTCCAAATCCTCCCCTTACAGCCAGCTACTCAAGAAGTCTACCATAGTCATGCTACACCTACTCCCAGCACTTGGCTATGGTGGACCTTGGGAGATTAGCTCCAATGTTCAAAGGACAACGCAAAGCTACTATACCTCTCCCACTATGGCCGCCATGCCACAATCTACCCCCCGAGTCTCCCTTCTAAGTATCTCCTCACTTGGGGCCTTCCAGAATGCAGCGCCAACCAAGAAGATGAAGATGCAGAGCACCGCAGCCAAGGTCAGCTCCTTCACTCTCCTCCTCTATCTTTTTCCTCCTCATTCTGGCTTCCTTCTTCCTTCTCCTTAGGCCTCTGCCATATCTAGGCCCTCCCCCACCTCCGCCTTGGTCACCTCCACCATAGCCGAGCTGGGGGCCAAACTCCGGCTCCTTCCTCCATCCCGTGCTGCTTCAGCGAGGTGCTTGCTCTAGCAGCGTGCCTCCGATCTGCATCCAACAAACGAGGAAGAGCTCTTCGGTCCCTCCCTTGATATACCGGACTACTGCCTCTTCGAGCAGTGACTTTCCAGAATGCGCGCCCTCCAAGACTACTGGTACACACCGCTTTTTGTGGGAACACACATGGCAGTCTCTAGACTCAGACCTATCGGACTGGTACCTACCCCTCAGCCTACCGGACTTCTAAAAAGCTGCCTGGCCTCTCCAAAGGTACTACCTTTTTGTCGTATCTGCTACTCTACCCGCTGCTTCATGAGTTTGGCCTCCGCAGGCGTCCTCTAGCCCACTCAACCCTCTGCATCCCGCACACACACAGCCATGCGGGTCACACACACACACACACACACACACACACACACACACACACACACACACACACACACATGCCAGCACTCAGACAACAGCAAGCACCCAGTCTAATCGCATGCATACCCAGCAGCAGACACAGCAAACCTCAGAGCAACACGACAATCTCAGCAAATCAGTCCAACATGCAGCAATACTAAGAAAACAGCAGAATTCTCAGTCTGTGATTTCGCAGGTCATTACATATTGATGTATGCCGCTCCTTGGCCAACCGCCATTGCCGTGTCAAGAATCTGTCTTCCTTTGAGAAATCCAGTCGTCTGATCCAGGTGTATGAGAGAAGGTAGCACCTGTTGCATTCGATTGCCCATAACTTGTGGTACCAGTTTGTAACTTTGTACTAAGTTTGTAGAGAGCCGCAGTAAAAGTGATAGGTCTCTTATTTCTGAGCTGTGATCTGAGAATTTTGGACCCTTTTTTGTGGAGCAGTCTGAGCAGAGTGACAGCCCCTTGTAAGCAGTGCTGCGGCATCAAGCCCCCTGTAGGTCTTGTGCCTGACATCATATAACCCTTATGCTATACACTATAGACTAGCATAGAGGTATATATAGTCGTATAGACTATACAGGTATATACTGGCCCTTAAAGCACCAGTAAACCACATATCGGCCGGGGCGTGTCAGCATGAAACCGACACCACTTCGGAGGCCGCCGATTTTTTTTTCGACGGCGGGCCTGGCTGCGCAGTGCCTCCGAGTTTTGCTTGTGGCAACAAAAACTTTCTGCAAGGCTGGGGCCGTGTACTAGTGGCTTAAACCACCAGCACATGCCATACATCAGCCATGGGCCCGTTTCAGAGGCCGCCCGCCGTCGATGTATTTTATCACCCGCAGCCTCGCAGAAAAGTGTGAGTTGCCAGCTCCACACTTTTCGGGGCTCGGGGCTACCGGACCACAAGGGTCGCCAGCACCAGCCAAAAAGGTATGGGCTGAGGTTTTCCCGGCAAGAGTAAGATACCCAAGAACGAGAGAAGAGGTTCTCAGGCAGCCTTTATTTTGTAACCCGTGGTTGAAGGACTCACAAGGAAAACCCAGAACACTTACAGCAAAGGATGCCAAGTGGGGGAATTGGTTGGAGCATGGGGTATGGCAGGTAAAGCATCTATGGTCACAGGCATATAATAGGTGGAAAACGGGGAGGGAAATGAGGGAAGGAATGAAGGCTTGTCACAGGCTAACTGAGAATTTGAATGAAGTGCTCAACTCCATACCCCAAGAATGGACACAAATATTGAAGAGCCCGTTTAAATGGGGCACTGGTGACTGGGCAACTTGGACCTCAAGCTCGGAACCAGATCAAGCGTTCCGCATTCACCAGGAGGTAGGCCCAGCCAATCAGTGGCTGGAGGCAGACATGTATCCAATCCTGAACCCAGGCTTTATGGTTAGTCCATTTGACAAAGAGACAAGGGTACCAATAGCCATCAACAAAAGTCTACTCACGAAAGTCAGGGTCATCGAGACTGATGAATTCACAATTTTTGCTCCCACAACACCTATTCAAGATCTGGAAATTGATCCAGTACACTGGGCTTGGAACAYGAMAGAGAATGGTTCAAGGATAGGTAAGAGGRTTAACATACTCCACTACACAACTAAATSSGGGTATAGATTAAGAAAGAGATCAACCCAGTTGGATCAACCYCTAGCAATGAGATGGGAAAAAAGGKTRGGAATAYCAAGAYAGCAAATAYGAAAATTGYCGTGGTYGATTTTGCACACMATCAGGCTGAATAASGTYCGARGTATGCAGTGGCTCATATTTCATGTCGCACTACCAGTCAACGCTTGGCTATACGAAAAACGAAGCAGGAACAATAGAGATGAGAGGGAGAAAAATTGAGTCATGTGCACCGATGGAGTACCCGAAACATTGATTCATTGCCTTCTGCTATGCCCGGAAGCGGAGTATGTTTGGTCTATAGCTCGAACCCTGTGGGATCGCACATCGGAATTTGCATTCCCAAGGAGCAAAAAAGTC